TTCTCCCCATTCTGCCTTGCAAAAACAAACAAAACAACAACAAAAAGAAAACATTAGATGACATTCCTAATGCTAGCCACCAAGGTCTATTCTCTTATTTGGCCACTTCCTCCTCTTAAAGCTGACTACTAAGGTCCAGCTATCAAAGTATTGAAGTCCAGCAACCAAAAGCCCCCTTTGACTCAACTGATTAACACGCCCGATTTTATATTACACACCTCATCGTAACTCGGGGTTTCCCTTTTACCTTTGTAAACACCATTTGCCTATGGGCCATGTCTGTCTCTCTATGCAGAGGCAGGCCTTTGTCACTCTGGGACAAATACCCCTCTTCTCACTCTCTTATTCCCTTTCTCTTCTCCCTCATCCTCTGTATCCTGTCTTCGTCTCTCATCTCTGCCCTCTGTCCCTCTGGGATAAATAAATCTCCTTTGTGCTGAGCCAATACCATTGGTCCTGAGCCAATACCATTCCTTTCTATCAGGTCTGGGTGGATGAGAACAGTAGGAACACCAGAGGGGTTGTCCTTGTCTCATCCCAGAACCTGAAACCCATTGTTGGTGTGGGCTAAAAAAACATGTTGGTATGAAGTTTAGTTTTCTGGGCTTTCTTATGGGAGTATGAGTGAGGGGTTACCTAAAGGAACACTGATGACTCAAAGGCAATTACAGTGCCAAAAAGTCCACCCCAGCATGGGTGACTCACAGGTGACATCCCGGGGGCTAGCTTCGTTCTTCAGCTATTGTTTATATAAGTTTAGGGAAAGGCCTTGTGAGCCTCGGTTCAGGAGCTTCCTGCAACTTTTAAATTTCTTTCCCTTCCTGAACCTTGTGTTGCAGGAATCCCTTTCAGCTTGCATCCAGGCAGCACAGAGGCTGCTGTGGCCCTCAGAATCCTGAACTGAAAGTGACCGAGCTTCATTTGGAGACTGCTCTAAGAGAGGTCTGAATGCCAAATAACACTCCCCCTCCACACACACACCAAAACAAGACAAGACACTTCCAAACCAAGCCAAAGAAAGAAAAACAAAAGCCAGGCATGGTGCTGCACACCTTTTATCTTAGGGAGGCAGACAGGGTAGATTTCTGTGAGCTTGAGAAAAACAGAAAACAAATAAGGTCTGAGTGGCTCTGGGAAATGCCAGGCCTGAGTAGGGGTTTAAATTCAGGTATCTGACAGGACTCGGTGGTGAAAGGAGCCAGTGTTTTCCATAGTACCAGGTTCAAGACAGACAAAGGGACAGAGAGCGGTGTGGTGTGGTGTGGTGTGGTGTGGTGTGGTGTGGTGTGGTGTGGTGTGGTGTCTGTAAGTGTTACAGCTCTGAAGGGAAAGGGTTCCCCAGTGCAGGTCTTGAAGCTCTAAAGGAGAAGGTATCCTGGCAGCTAAGGAATACCACAAAGTCACACCACACAACAAACCTCACACCAGAGATTTATTAGGAAAGACACAAGAGGATGGCTGCCTCTGCTTGGAGGAGATGGGTTTGTGTAGGGTTTTTTAGGGGTAGAGTTTTCCAGGGTGGGGAGTGGTAGGATTTCAAGTGTTGAGATTACAGCAAGCCCAAGGATTGGTGGGATTTCAGGCTCAGGGTTTAGTGGGTTTTTAACACAGAAGTGAGTTCTGGCCTTTTACCCTACAGTATGTTGTTTTGGTCTAAGTTGTTCTGTTTACCAATAAAGACCCAGGAATCAAATAAGGGGTGAAACCCTGCTAGATCAAAGAAGCCCAGAGGCAACCAGGTGACCTTCCTTTTTGTCTGGAGACCCAGCAGGAGATCATCTCTCCTTCCTTCCATCTCAAGCCAAACTGGGCCATGAATCTTTAAGTCCCTCCATACTCCTTCCTCTGTGTCTTTATCCATATCCCTGGTTCCTCTGTATTCTGTATGGCTAATTTCTGTCAACCCCTGACTCAAGGTTAATTTTATTAACACAGTCTCAGAGTTCACAGTGCAATCAAATATCCCATAATAGTATCTCCCACAGCTCTTTGCTCAAGCCTCAGTGTTCTTGGTGACATGGGCTATCTTGTCCCTATCCTGCCATCCTTCCTGGGCCCTGGGTCATCTTTCTTGTCCCTCTTTACAGAGAAGTGGCTTTACTATGCCTAACTCCTTGAACATCCTTCCTGAAAAGATAGGTATTGGCACAGGACCCCCAAGACCAAGTTCTCAGCACAACGAAGATTTATTTATCCCATAGAAACAGAGAGTAGGGAATAAGAGAAACACAGGAGATAGAGGATGAGGGAGAAGGGGAAAAGAACAAGGGATAAAGGGAAGGGATATTTGCCCCAGAGGGACAAAGGATTGCTTCTGGATAGAGAAGAGACAGACGTAGCCCATAGGCAAATGGTTTATAAAGGTAAAGGGGGAAACCCTGTGTTAGGGCAAGGCATTTAATTTAATTGGGCATGTTAATTAGGTGAGCCAAAGGGGGCTTTTGATCGCTGGATTTCAATACTTTGATAGCTGGACCTTGGTGGTCAGCCTCAAAAGGAGGGAGTTGCCAAATAAGGGAGTAGGCCTTGGTGGCTAGCTGTAGGCATGAAATCTAATGGGTTTTTAACAAGGCAAGGGGATGGGGGGGAGGGCAAAGCCTGCCAGAGCCATGTGTGCCATGCTCGGGCCTGTTAGAGCCCCTTGACTCCTTGCTCTCAAGATTAATACTGAGACTCCTTACAATGTATTTATTTTTCTAATTCGGTCTTGGAGTCTGGAGTGTAGTAAGTAAGAAGGAAGAGTTTCCAACACACGAGTGCTCGGTTCCTGGTGGTGGATCAGGTATGACATGGAGGAGACTGCTGGACAGACTGTTTATTCTTCCAGCTCCAGGAAGAAAGAGGGGTGCCTTAAGGGTGCAGAAGTTGGCTTCGTATTGCTACGATAAAGACTTTCAAAGAACAGGGATACTTTGGTTTACACATCCCCATCACAGCCTATCATTAAGAGAAGCCAAGGGAGGAACTCAAGCAAGACAGGAACCTGGAATTGAGAAGTGAAGCAGAGACCAAGGGGGAACACTGCTTACTGGTTTGCTTGATTTATTGTCTATTATTACATATATATATGGGGGTGTACTACACTGAATCTCCTGAAATCGGGGTTCACAAACAATGATCAGCCACAGTGTGGGTACTAGGAACGTGGGCCTCTGGAAGAGTGGCCACTCCTCTTAGTCACTGAGCCATTTCTCCTGCCTCTCAGCTTACTCGTTTTTATACAACCCAAGACCACATATCCAGGGCTGGTACCGCCCACAGTGGACTGGGTCCTTCCACATCAATCATTAATCAAGGAAACGCCTCCACGAATTGCCAGTCTGGTGGAGGCATTTTCTCAGTGGAGGTTTCCTCTGCCCAGAGGACTGTAGCTCAGCCAAGTTGACAAAACATTAAACAGTGCATTCAAAGATAGCACCGGTGCTGAAGAGCCAGTGAGGAGACAGTGCCAGCAAGCAAAGCCTTTGGGGGCCCAGGGTAGAACCCAAACGGTTTTCCTGAGCTCTAATTGGTGAGTTTACAGCAAGCAGCTGAATCATGTGGGGTCACGGTGTCACCGAAAGGAGTCACCAGCTTATCTGTGCAGTCCATTCAGGGTGTGAGGTCAGCGGGGCGGTCCGTTGACTTGCATCTGTTTGCCTCTCAGGGAAGTGCCTGGTGGGAAGAAGTTATATAAGGGAGATAGCTGAATGGGCCACTCTGAGGATGTAGTTGGGAGGAGACAGAGGAACAGAAACTGTATTGCAGTTGAGCAAGTCCAAATGCTATTCAAATGGGCAACGGGACAGGATCACCCCCTTCTACCTGCTCCTGGGTGGCTGTGCTCCTCAAGCAAGTGTTATCTACACAGACAGGCGAAGAAGACAAGGAAGAGGAGGAGGAAGAGGAAGGGGAGGGAGAGGAAGAAGCAAAGAAAGAAAAGAAAAAAATCCCCCACTCTCTGGCAGACAGACCCTAATGAAGTCGCGCCTGACCCAGTGATTTATGATGCCTAACGCCTAATGGCCCTGGCGCCTCACCCCAAATGGCCAGGCTCAGGCTGGGAGAAGTGCCGGGAGATTTACTACCTCAGGGTATATTGTTGCAGAGATGGACACCTTAAGGCCCTGCTCTGTCCAGTTTTAGTCGCTCAGGAGGCTGAGGCAGTCCCCAGGTACACGTGGAGGGGACTGGAGTAAGCCCAGCGCTGGCAGGCCAGTTCTTCCCCCTTGCATGACAGCCTGTGTGTGCTGGTTGGAGTGGTTGCAGGAGGCTCCTGAACCCTCCAGACTGGGCCTGCTTCACTACAATAGACCCCTCTGGGGCAGCTGGCAGGCGGCTATCTGACAAGAGGGCTGTTTGGGAACTCTTACTTTCTTCATTTCTCTTTGGGAAAGCAAAAGCAAACAAAAAGACAACATAGCTTAGTTGACGTTATCTCACCACCCAGGGTGAGAAGAGGGCCCACTTTCCCTGCCTCCTTGTCTCTTCTATCCCTGCCCCTCATCCCCCCCCCCCCCCGGGGCTGGGGGATTTCCTTGTCCCACTCCCATCTGCCTCTGAGGAGCAAGGGTGGTTTCCACCCGAACTTGTAGAACTCTGACAGGCAGGCCTTCTAGCCTTAGCTTATACCCCTCCCATGGCACTGTTCCTTAGAGACTATGAAATGATTAATAAACAGCAGACTTTGGATACAGGTCCAAGAGGTAGTGCCCAAGGGAGGATGGAGGGATTTGATAGTAATCTGGAACTGGTCGGGCAGACATCATGCCATTAATCCCACAGCCGTGACAGTTTTTTAGGGTTCTGCCAGCTAACAAGTTGTATTCCAGGGAGGTAGATTCCTGCTCAAGGATTTCCCCCTAGAACAAGCTTTGTGGGGCATGGAGGAGTACAAGTAGAGAGTTGTCTGCCAGGGATATGAGTGCTTCCAGAAAACCTTAGATGTATGCTCAGGAGGGTAGCTGGGAAGTCAGCCCTGCATCTGTCTACATCACTTGGCTTGTCTTCCCATTCAGGTGAAGGCAGGAAGGAGGTCTGTAGCACACACCATCTGTGTGAGCACCCTGCCTTTCCCCCAGGTTCTTCAGGGTGGAACTGCATCTGTCTTCGGCCTCTTGGACCCAGGTGAGTGAAGACTGGCCCTTCCCGGAGTCCACACTTGTGTCTGGTAAAGATAAGAGTTTAAAACCGAGAACTTCCCCTCTCAGGGGTATCTGCTTCTCAGCAGGGCTAAAGAAGGCCAGGCTGTTGCACAGATGAAACACTGAGAGCCCTTTGGAGTTTGTGACACTGCATGGGGTGAGGGTAGGGGGTGCGTGAGGACCAGAAGGAATCTTCCTGAGTTCTGGGATCCTATAGGTCTGTCTACCCTTACTTAGTATGAGGCATCAGAGGCCTAGTCAAATGAGCTGCAAATAAACCCTTCCCAGGCTCAGCCTGCCCCTGCCTCCCCGTACTCTGTCTGTCCAGTGGGCCCTGAGGAAGCTGTTGTGAACAGTCATCCTCAAGTGGCTGTCCTTCCCTTTCACACCTTGGGTTTTCCCATTCAAATCCTCTTTATAGACTAGACTTCTCATGTGGACTGAGGTCTAGGAGACCAGAGAAAGGAGGAAGCAATCTTCAGCTATGTGTTACTCAGCCTCAGGCCCAAGGGTGACAGATTTTATTCTAATGAAGTACAGCAGTGCCTTTCTGCCTTTTATTCTTACCATCTACCAGCAATTCTGAACAATGATAGTGCTAAAATGCTCCTCTCTGAAAAAGTCTGTCTTGGCTGAAATTGGAAACAACTGCTATATGTGCTGCTTAATACTAATAATAAACGAGCTTCAGACTGGCATCTTTAGTGCTTATTGTTGAACGATATAGCATTTTGCATGAAAGTAATTTAAGTTCTTTTTTTCTTTATATGAAAGAAAGTAATTTCCTGCTGTCCACCTGCAGCTTGAGCTGCAAGCACATAATTGTAATTTGTAATTCCTAATGGTCTCTCCATCATGTTAGCTGCTATCCACCCCCTCTTTTTTATATAAGCCCTATTGTAGCCCAGGAATTACATGTATATGTAGATGATCTTGTGATTTTCATTCTGCCTCTACCTCCTAGATGCTGTCAAGACCATGTGCACAAACCACCATGAGTTCTAAATTATGGACTACAGCACAGTGAGTGCAGATGCAAAGGAATGTAACTTGGAAAAAACACAAAAACAAACAAAAAAACAAACAAACAAAAGAAAAAATAAACCAGAAAATGCAATAAGACACACAGAGAGCAACAAAGAAAAAAAAGAAATATAATTTTGAACTGCTTCAGTCTATTACTTTCTGTGTTAACAGGGTTTTATTTGTGTGTGTGTGTGTGTGTGTGTGTGTGTGTGTGTGCATGCGCGCGTGCGTTTAACGGTGGTTGAGGGCATAGCTGAGTGGAAGAGCACAAACTACCATGTGTCATGGTTCATCTTGATCATCAACTTGATTGGATCGAGCCACAGCCCAGATGTTAGGGCCACACCTCGGGACATGTCAGTGATAGGTTCTCCAGTCATGATTAAGTCAGGGGGACCCCACTGGGGGAGGGCTGGTAGGAGCAAGAGAGAAAAGGAGAAAGAAAAGTACATGCATTCTTTCTGAAGAAGAAGCAGAGAAAGAGTTGCAGTATAGGCCCAGGAGTATAGAGAAACCTCCGAACTCAGCAGGAAACCCCCTAGGGGGTGAGGAAATTCCAGGAAGATGCTGAGAGAGAGCCACAAGGGAGAAGAGAGGATAAATTCTGTGGTGACAAGAATGTTTCTCCTTATAGCAGTCCTAGCTGTCCTAGAACTTGATTTGTGGACTGGGCTGGCCTCGAACTCACAGAGATCCACCTGCCTTGCCTTCCAAGTGCTGGGATTAAAGGCATGCACCACCACCACCCAGCTGGTGCAAGAATTTTAATCGTGGGTATTCCCAAACAGACTGAGAGATTTGCCAGAGGGAAATGTTCCAAATCGCAGAGGGGAGACGTCCCTTTCTACATGATGTGGGCCCAGTAGGATGAGAAGAGCATCCGGGCACACCAGTGTGGCTTTGTAGTAAAAGCATTCAAAGCAGTTAGCTCCATGGTGACACTTAACCTAATCTAGGAGAGATGAGTGGTCCAAGCATGAGGGGAGAAAACAGCTGAAGAGGTGGACTGGGAGAGGCTTTTGGGAAAGGGAGGGAAGAGAGTGAGTAGGAATGTAAACAGAGTTGCCCATGTGTGGGGCACACGTGGTGGGAACTCCAGAGGGCATGATAGTGAGACATGGTGGGTACTCTGGATACGGTAGTAGGGTGATGACCATGCATGCATTGGGCACCCCAAAGGGCATAGCGGGTTCTAGGAACCAGAGAGAGGACACTTACGGTGTAAGTGAGGAGAGATGGATGCCTAGAGCAGGTGGAAGAAAGAGGCAGCTGAAGAGGCGGACTCTAGAATCTGGAATCAGATGTGGGGGATGTCCTTCTGCATATGTGTCTCTGTTATTAGTTAGTGAATAAAACACTGATTGCTGATAGTCCTAGCCTCGGCCAACAGTTTTATAAATAATAGAAGCCTCTGTGTATTTATTTGGGACTAAGAGGCCAGGCAGAACAGAAACTTTAGTGTACACCTCAGCTTGGTTCAGAGAGGCTGAGCCTGTTGGAAAGAAACTCATACATGCCTATCCCAGATTTCTGCACCAGATGAGTTAAAAAGAAAGAAAGGAAGGAAGAAAGAAAGGGAGGGAGGGAGGCAGATATGACTTCTCCCAAAGTATGGACAAGATTTTTATTGTAGCTATAAGGGAGAAGTCAGGCAAAGTGGAGAGTTCAGGCTGAACATGGCTGCCAGATTAAACTGGACCTGGCAAGAGAGAGGGTGAGAGAGAACAAGAGAGGGGCCGCCAAGGGCCAAGAGACCAGTGGAGCCAAAATGGCTGAGTTATCTAGGGATCAGGCTTTGTGAAAGGAAGAAGGGAAGGGAAGCTCAGCCTCTGGGAAGGAGAGGTTTAGGGGACGGGGAAGGGTGGGGGGAATGCTGGAAGGAGCCACAGGTACTGAGTGAGTCTTGTCCCAGGTTTCTTTGAGACTTAACAAAGAGTTAAGCAGAGCTGTCCTGGCTTAATCACCTCTCCAATGCCTGTTATTGGGAAAGAATATTCTTGCTGTTGCACAAAATGCACCCAAACAGAACAAATGTAACCTGGCAAAGGCAATTTCTTTTTGCAAAAAGGGTGCACCACAGCCCAAACTGTGCTGGCAAGCAGCATGCATGACCACAATGGCCTTTATCTTTTACCTCTAATACAAGAGGAGCTGTTTGTCATTGAATGAATAAAGTTCAACTTTCATGGTGTACTGATTAGCTATTTGGAAATTGGAGGGAGGAAATGAAAGGAAGAATGAGGGGGTTGGCTGATCTGGTTCATCAAGTTCCTGAAATGCAATAGGGCCTTTGAGTAAATAAAAGTCTTAGTGGGGAGATTAAAATATTTCATGAAGCCTGGCAGTGAAGGGTCATGACTTTAATTGAAGCAGAGACAGGAGGATCTTTGTGAGTTTGAGGCCAGCCTGGTCTACAGAGCAAGTTCCATGACAGGCAGCTACAGAGAAACCCTGTCTTAGAAAAATTGCATGGAAAATTTAAAAGGTGATTTATGGAATATTGGCTGTTGGTGAGTTACCCACCTTTGATAGACAAAAAGAGTTTCTCACACTATCTCTTAATATTATCACTTTGGGAATTAGGTTTCAACATATGGATCTGTGAGGACACGCCCACATTCAGGCCACAGCAATTATGAAATCTATGTGTTTAGTTTCATGATCTTTACTGTGTAACCATGTAGAGGAGAGATGTTTAAATAATGACTCATGCGAGTCACATTTGTTGGGTGTACTACTGGCTTGACTTTAGCTCTACCATGAAGACTCAGAGAGTGACAGAGGAATGGGTTGACTAGATCTTTAATCATGGGCCTCCCAGCCCAGCAATGCTCCCTGGCCCAGCTCAGATCCTATGATGAGTGCTTCTGTGGTAGCCTGAAGCAACCACATTGCCTCAGAGTGGAGGAGATGTAATGGTTTTCTGCCCCGCAGCACACTCTGATAAGAAGCTGAGGCCCTACCTAGTGCTGGACTTCTTCCAGGTACCATGTTCTGGACAGTGGCTGGGAAACTGACAGGTATCCCTTCTTTCCTACCCTACTCTTTCCCCACAGAGACGTGAAAGTACAAAATGTGCCACTGTGGCACAAGGATTATTTGAACTGAGGACATTTGCAAGTCAATAAATAAAAACTTCCTCCTAACCCCTCTCAAAGCAGAGCCTCCCAAAAGAATGTAGATGCCATGAATCTACTCCCTGGGGGCACTGGAGTTTCCCAACCAGGGCAGATCGACTTTTGTCATGAGGTTGTTAGAGGAATAATCTACCAAGATAAGCAGTTGCCTAAACGGGCTTGACAAAGCTATCGTATCACCCATCTGTCTCCCAGGGCTCCCTCTGCCTTTACTAAGATGATTGTTTTTTAGTCACATCTGTGAACACCAGCTTTTGCAAGTACAAGAAGGAAGGCCTGGAGAGGTAAAGTAAGCAGATATGGGGAACCAGTAGAGCTGCAAGCTGACCCCAGCTGATCCAGAGCTCAATGTATGAGTTTGGGGTAGGCTGAAACCTCTGGAGTCTTAATTCGAGCTCTGTCTCTAGGGGCAAACCTTGGTCTGGTCCAGTTTCTGTCTTCAGTGTGGAGTAGATCTCTCATGGGTCTCATTCCCAAGGCTGAGGTGCCATGGAGGAGGATACCAGCTTGAGCAGAATCATGTAAATGGCCAACAGAAAGAATATACCATAGGAAGAAACTGTTTGCTACAGGGGAAGTTGGACTGCGGTCTTGTGTATTTCACCTACCTCCAACACCATGTTGCTGTGTGACTCTGGGCCAGTTGCTTAGCCTTTCTGACTCTCCTTGCCTTTTTCTGTCATCTTCCTGGCCCTTATTCTGGATATTTAGAGGCAAGGTATGAATGAACATGTGACAGCAGAATTGTGAGTCTGAAGTCCTGGTGATATGATGACCACAAACAGTATCTTATCAGCTTCCCAGGGGGAGTGTTGCCTAATCTGTATTTATCTAACTTAGAACCAGATTTGAGGATCTGTGTAGCAACATGTGTTCTAATCCTATCACTACCGATAGTTTAGCTAACTTGTATATAAGCAACTATGGTGAAAAAAAAATGGTAAAAGTGTGGTATAATTAAAATATTGCATAAATATATATTTCACATATATGATATCACACACAGAGCTCCTAAAATCTTGGACTTTCCACGGTCAGTCATGTGTTTTACTTAAAAAATCCCCTTTCCATCATATCTGAGTCTATGCTAATAAGGCAGTTCGGGTGGATCCCATAGATAACTACAGGACAGGGCTGATTACCAGGAAGGCTGGGAAGAGGAGGAGCCTAGATATTGGGTTATAAAAACTTGACAAAGCAGCCAGGAGTTGGTGGCACACACCTTTAATCCCAGCAGAGGCAGAGGCAAGTGGATCTCTGTGAGTTTGAGGCCAGCCTGGTCTACAGAGTTCTAGGACAGCCTGGGCGATCACACAGAGAAACCCTGTCTTGGAAGGAAGGAAGGAAGGAAGGAAGGAAGGAAGGAAGGAAGGAAGGAAGGAAGGAAAGAAAGAAGGAAGGAAGGAAGGAAGGAATGCAGACTTGACCAAGCAAGGTGGTTTACACACAATCCCAGGCACTCAGAGACCATCTAGACAATGATAGCCACTAGATAAAACTCTTGAACCATGACTTTCTCAGGCCTTCTAGGTCACTAAACACTTGGGTGGTGCAGTGTGCCCAGTGAAGCTTCACCCTTCTCCCCAACTGCTGCTCTCTAACCACCTCTCCCATCTGGCTACACAGTTGTGTGTTCTTTATATCCATTTACTGGTAAATGTCAGAACAGTGTTTATACAAATTCTGTGAATTGTTCTAGTACATTTGCTGGATCTGAAGATTATGGAAAACTTCAATGTGTAGGTGGCTTAGCAGAAATATGAGTAACCCAAAAGTAGCATGTTGTGCCCAAATTCTGAACCCCAAAACCACCAATAAACTCATTCCAATGCAAAAGCAAAGAGTCTTCCATTATTTAACAAGTTAAATGTGTTAACTCGGGTCTTCCATCCCTCTGACCTGGCAGGTGTGAGTGAGAAGGATCCGGAGAAACTGCGAGGCAGAGTATTTACCTGGTAGAGCAAGGGGAGTGTCTAGAGGTACACAACAGTCCCAGGCTTGGGCAA